AACCCCAAAAGCGAGCAGGGGAAGGAGAAGGGACAGCAGCCCAGCGGCAGGGCCCCCCCCCGGGTTAGGCAGGCGGAGAGGGGCAGCAGGGGGATCCCACGCGTGTCCGCCCAGCAGCACCCCAAGAAAACTTTGATTATTTTTTTTTCCCGCTTTGTTTTGCTTGGGCGGGCGAGGGGCTGATTTCAGGCACAGAGCCTCCCTTTCCTTCCAGGGCCTCCTCGCCGCCAACCCCACAGCCCCCCGCCGACCCCCCAAAGCCGCCCGGGAAGGAACCCTTCCCCAAACAAAGGCCCGGAGCGCAGCCAGGTCGGGTTATCAGCGCCCCGGCCGCCGAGGGGAGCGCCGGGCTCCCTTCGCCAGATTACAGGGCTTTGACCGATGGCGGGGAAAGAAGATAAAGCCAACTTCCTCGGTTGGTCATCTCCTCTCTGAGCAAACCATCCTGTTGAGCTAATTCCTCCTCGGCTCGCCCTAAGCCCCGTCTTTAAATGCTTTGTCTGCGTCGCCAGGAATAACAGAGGGGATGGGATGGGTCTGTGGCGAGAGGAAAGGGGAAAGGAGACGGGGAGAAAAAAGGAGAAGAAAAAGGGGGAGAAAGGATGAAAAAAGAAGTGGGGGGAAAGAAGAGGGGAAAAAAGAGGAGAAGCAGGGGGAAAGAAAGAAGAGGAGAAGGGGAAAGGGGAGCTGAGGCCCTCAGGAGGAGCAGCAGGAGGAGGGAAGCAGAGGGGATGTGGGGTGCTGGGCCCCCCTCACCTTGTGGTTCTGGTAGGAGGTGACGGCGATGAAGGCAGTCTCCGGGAAGACATGGGTGCAGAAGGCCGTGTTCTTGGAGCCAAAGCCGTTGTTCTCGTCCGCTTTCACGATGTGGAGCCGGGGCTGGTATTTGTGCATGGAGTTCAGGATGATCTGGGCAAGGGGAGAAGGAGAGGACATCCCATGGGAATGGAGGGGCTACAGCACAGCGAACCCCCCCACACTGCCTGAGGATGGGGAGAGGAGGGAGAGGAAGAGGACAGGGGCCCGCAGATCCTCACATCCCCTTCCCCAAAATCTTCGCCCTCTTCAAGGCTCCCTCAGCAGGGCTGATTGCAGTGCTGGGTTTGGGGGGATATATTTCCCAAGGAACCACCCACCCCCAGACAAGGAGCCTGTGATGCTGTAAAAGGTGGCTCCTTATCTGCTGCCCCCACATCCCCTCCCAGCCCTGGGCTGTGCTGCTATGCCCTCCACCCCCAGGGGGGAGCCAGAGCTGCTCCCCAACATGTGTTGGCACCCAGAATCTGCTGCTGGTGGGGGCTCTCCGCCTTCCCAGGCCCTTCACAGCCCCCAAAACCTCCCAGCTCGCCACGATGACCCAGGCATCTCAACACCATCCCCCCCCAGGAGGGCAAGGAGGCAAGAAGGGGGTCTGGAAGCATGGGGGAGCTGGAGGGATTTAGTGTGGGCCCCCCGCAGAGGATGGGAGAGGAGGGTGTTCAAGATAAAAAGCGGTCCCTGCTCAGGACTGGGTTAATCTCGGGGGACTGGGGGGGCAGCGGGGGGCCGCTGGGTCCCGATAATGACTGCCGGACCCTGGCGACAGCGCGACGCAGCGCGCCCCGCCGCCGCCTCCCCGTCCGGGGGGTTTAAGCAAATTGCTTTGACATCCAGGAAAGTCGTAGACATCAACGGTGAACGATCTAATGGTTTTTAATTTCATTACAGCGACTCTAATTGAGAGACTCCTGGTGCAGCTCCTCCTCTGAAGTCCCTTATTGTCCCCTCTGTGCCTTTGGTTTTGGTTCGAGGCACTTTTCCGCAGAGCTGCCTGTTCGCAGCAGGGGATGCCTGGCCCTGTCCCCCCTCCCCAGGACTGGTCCCCAAAACCAGCCTGGGGGGTGGGAGAGGTCCCCCCAGCTGCACTGCTGCGGAGTCTCTGCTCTCCCCCCTGGGAAGGGAATGGGGAAAGCCCTGATCCCTGGAAAGCAGCCGCTTGCAAACTGCTTTGCTCCCAGGCTCCAAGCAAAATGAAAATAAAATTAAAATTATATAAAAAATAATAATTAGTGAAGAAAAAGAAAAAAAAAGTACTCAGAAAAAAAAAAAGAAACAGAAGTTTTGAAATGAGACTGGAGAAAAACACGCTGTTGGAAAGGGATGGTGGGACCTGGATTCGCATACCCGCTTAAGTAATTATATATATTTTTTTATAGATATATATATTATTCATACATGCACGTATATATTTGCTCAGAGGAACACGCATCTTTGGAGACCTCCAAGGAGGGCTGTTTCTGGCTGCAGAATTCACACAAGCTTTCACAGCCCCACAAGTCTAGCAAAGACTTTTTTATGCCCAAGAAACTCTAGCAGGATTTCGATTAATTTTTTTTATTGTATTTAATTATCGTTGCTTTTTTTTTTTTTTTGGATCAAGGGATCCACATGGGTTTAGGTCCTATTTCCTTGGATAATTATGCCTGCTTGACTTTACCTGTTAGCCAAATTCACGGAGGCAATGAGCAGACCGTAACACTCCACGACTATCTGTGAGGTTAAAACCAAGTAGCTAAAAACTCAATTCAAGCGGGCACATTTCGCCCACTCATGGGACTCCAGGCCCTGAGGGGGTCTGCAATCAATTCCCACGCCATGCTGCGAAATAGCCCATTTTTAAGGTTTATGCTTCCATTTTTTGCGGGGGAGAGGGCCCTTCATTGGGGTTCATCCCACCCTCTCAGGGCAGAAAATAACACCCTGCCATCAGCACAAGGGCTTTGGGGATGGGTGACATTGCTGTGACCTTGGTGGGGGAGGGACACGCCATGGGAGAGGGCTGTGAGCACCCGTCAGGCCCCTTCTCCCACCCCCGGCACTTACATGTCCGAAGGGGTCGAGGTGGTTGTTGGTGAGTTTGAGCTTCTGGAAGGAAACCAGCTGCCTCATCCAGTGGGCGCCAGTGGCCGGGGAGTCGGGATGCACGTAGAGGCGCCCGGGCATGGCCGGCTCTGCCTTCCCCGTCACCGACCTGCGTGGGGACACAGGCACTGAGCTCCGAGCCCTCCCGTGGGCTCCTGCTCCCCCATCCACCACCACCCCCCATGGTGGGGTCCCTCCCGTGGGCTCCTGCTCCCCCCCACACCCCCCCCAGTGGGGTCCTTCCCACTCGGGTATCCCCATATGCGCAGGCAGTGTGGTGCTGGGAGGTCGTGCCGTGCTTGGGGAGAAAAAACATTTGCAAACACTGCTCGGGGAACTGATTGAGCTCCCTGGCACCTTTCCCGTGGGAGATGGCTCTCCCTGTTTCCCCGTTTAACCCCATCCTCTCCCTCCTCACCCCCCCACCCTCCCCCGCCAGTTACCAGCACCCCAGCCGGGACCTAGGGCCGTGTACCAATCCCTAAAGATTTTCCTGCCCGGAGATACTCCCTTTTTTAATATAATTAAACTATCGGCTCCACAATAACCAATAACCTCATCGTCAAAGAGGATTACAGTTATTGTTAGCTAATTGCGACAGACTTTTCTCCTTTTTTTTTTTCTTTTTTTCCTGATGCAAGGAGCATACCGGGAGGCTCAGGTGAAGCCCCCACAGCCCAAGAGCCCTCCGCGGCTGGAGGATGAGCCGCTGGTCCCGGGGTGTCCCCCGGCCTGTGCTGCCCACAAAGCCCGGCCCAGAGCTCCCCTCCCTCCCTCTCCTTCCCCCTCCCACGCGTGCCTACCATTTATTATCCGCAAATTTGTATCTGTGGTCATCCGCCGGTACAATATCCATCAACAGTATGTACTTAGTTTTTGGATTGAGTCCAGTGACCTTCACTTTGTAACTGGGGAACATACGCCTATTAAAAAAAAAAAATAATAAGAAGGAGGTACATAAATATATAAGCGGAGATAGGAAAGTTTTCCAAGGTGGTTTTGCATGTGTGTTTGCAGGGGGAGGATGGGACTGGGGTCCTTCCCGAAAGACTGGGGCAGAGGAAGGGTGCATCATCCCCTGGGGTGCGGGAGATGGGTGGGTGGGTGCCGCTGGGTCCCCCTCCAGGTCTCAGCTGAGGCGAAATGGGCGATTTATCGGATCGTAATTACGATTGTTAATTATTCACCTACTCGTGTCCCTGCTCATCTGTTCCTGGTTTTTATTATTATTTGTTTCGCCAAGGCTTTGCCTGTCCCTTCTTTTGAACAAATCTGGCCGTGAGAACTTTTGGAAGCAACTCGCTTCCCTCTCTCCATAAACTGCTGGAAGAAGGAGGGGAGATTGGCCAAAAAAAAAAAAAAAAGTAAAAATATCGATATTTATATAAATATAGAGATTTTAAATACCTATATTCCAACCGGCCCTATGTGTATTAACAGTTCTATGGGCAGATACAAAAAAATAAATAAATACTCCCCTTGCAGGTGTGGGATGGGACGCACAGGGCCAGCAGCAAACACCTGACAAATGCTTGGAAACCCTCGGCTACACACAGAAGACAGGGGCTTTTCGAAATATTTTCCATTACTGCAAGGGCAGGGACTTAAAACACTGATGTTATTTTAGTTTGAGCTTTCCAAATATTTAAAAATAAAGCAGATGAAAATGTAGCCCTGGACTTAAAATACGCAGAAACCAAAACCCCCACACCTCTAAAAATACGGCGCTCCGAGGCTCGGGCTCTTATCTCTGCGATAGGGCACCCGGGCCGGGGCTTAATTCGGTTGTAACAAACTGGAGGTGGGCGGCGGGGGAGGGGGGGGAGAAAAAAGTTCCCAACGAAGAAAGCGGGGATTTCGCTTTACCGTTTTGAGGGAGAAGAAACCAAATTCCACCTGAAGGATGATCTGTAACTCCATCAAAACCACCTGACCCGCAAGAACACGGACTCCTCCAACGCTAAACACGGGGAACTAGATAAATAAGGAACCCTCTCCCCGAGCTCCCCCAAAGCCCCTGCACTGTAAATGTCTATTTTATTGCTCTCCAGATGAGATTTCTGTCCGCTGCGATATTTGTTTGAAATTTCTGCAAGGTGGTTTATGTCTCCCTCCGTGCGCTGGGGTGGGTTTGGGGTTTTTTTTTGGTTTGGTTTTTTGGTGTGGGTTTTTTTTTTTTTCCCCCGTGAACTCGGGTTTTTGGGGATGTCCCTCCGCTGCCCCAACCCCCAGCCCGTGTCCCGGCATCGGGGGTCGGCAGGACCCCGAGCCCCAGGGGCTCCCCTCCCTCCGGGCAGTGCCCCCCATGCACACCCCCCCACTTCGTACCACCTCCCCTTGGACGCAAGCCCCTTCTTTAAAACCGATTTTTCCAGCAGCAGCGAGGTTCAAGGGGAAGGCGAGCCGTGAGACAAATCTATTCGCTAAAACTTCATACAACCAGCTCAGTATTTATTTATTTTTTTTTCCCTCCCTCTTCAGGCTCATTTGGGAAGACCACAACAAATGCCAGATGACAGAGCAAAATGAAAGTTTGCCTCTGCCTTGTTTATTGTGCCCTTGCAATCCAAGGCTACTACCATGTCTACGCGCGGAGGGGGTTGGGTTTTTCCCTCCCCTTCTTCCTCCGAGGATTTTAATTTAAAATCACAACGAAAAAAGCCTCTCTCGGGCTGCCCCCAGTTTGCAGACGGGACTGGAGGGACTATTTTACTGGGTCTCGCTGGCTTAAGCACCCTTCGATTTAAGAGCCCTCCAACATATTAGCATTAAAGATAATATTAAATCGCCACAAACGCACGCAAATATACGCGTATAAGTATCTCTGGGTCGGGTTTACCAAGCGGGTGATGGAATCGATTACGCGCAGTCCCAATAAAGTTGGATTTGCGAGGCTGTATATTTTTCCACACACCCACGCAGACACACAGACAGGCGGACAGAAGCGTGTCTCGGGACGCAGTTAGACCCGCGTGCTCTTTATGTGCGGACACAGCTACCCCCGCATCTAACCCAGCTTTGCTATCGGTGTATAATCAGCAGCTTAGGAGCACATAGACTTTTAAAAGGGGTGGCGGGGCTATATTCGCCTCCATGTGCGCAAAATAAATATAAGAAACTTGTGTAAAGGGCGGGAAGGCGTTGCAAAATCTCAGAAGGGCCGAGCTGCTGCTTTAATTAAAAATAACAGTAGTAATAATAATAATAATAATAATAGTAATAACGAAATCGCCCCGCGAGCTCCTCTAAACAAGGTTAGCTTTTGGCCAAGTGGTTGCAACTCGCGTTCGCCTTGGAAAGCTTCCAAAGGCCTGAAATTGGGATTAACGATCCAACTGTTCTGGTTTAAGAGAGAAGCCAGAAGAAACAATTCCTTCTGAATATATCCGCGCAGGGAGGGCTCTCCGCACGCCCGGCCCCGCCGGGGCATC